TTGCCTTAACTTTTGTGTTCCTCCCAGTGGCTTCTTTTGCCATATTGTGCTGACCTCCCCCTTATTGTATATTGCCTTTCCCTTCACCTAAGCTGGACTCCTGGTGTAGCACTGTAGGTTCGGCACTGGACTGCTAACTACAAGGTTGGTGGTTCAAACCCATCAGCCACTCCTTGGGAACCCCTATACAGGGTCACTATGAGTCAGAACTGACTCGATGACACTAAACAACAAGTTAGTGTGTGCCTGCCTGCCTTTATCCTCTCACCCATGGTAACCTTCAAAGAATATTTCTAAGTGTAAACCTTTTCTGGACTTTTTACAGTAGTGATGTCATAAAAATATTGGTCCTTTTGTAATTGATTGATTTAACTCTGTATACTCTCCTGTGGGCATCCTGGTGTGGTGCTGCAGGATAATGCACCGGACTGCAAGGTCAGTTTGAGCCATAAGATCAGTGGTTCAAACCCACCAGTCACTCCTTGGAAACCCTATACAGGGTCGCTGTGAATCAAAACTGCTTAATAACAACAACAACAATGTCCTGTAGGTTCCTCCATGTTACGAGGCATTTCTCAGATTCATCACTGTTCTTTAATGATGCATAGTCTTCCATAGTGTGTATGTATTGTAGTTTATTGATCCATTCATCCATTATAGACATTTAGGTTGTTTCCATCTTTTTGTCATTGTGAATAATGTTGTGATGAACATAAATATATATCTATCTCTTTGTGTCATGGCTCTTATTTATCTAGGATATCTACCTAGTGGTAGAGTTGCTGGGTCATATGGCCTCTCTGTTTCTAGTTTTTTAAGGAAGTGCCGCCATACTGTTTTTCCACAGTGAATGCACCATTTGATAGTCTCCGCAGCGGTGGGTGAGGACTCTAATCTCTCTACACTCTCATCAGCACTTAACTGTTTTCTTCTTTTTTGAACGTTGCTATTAATACTGGGTAAACTTCATTGGAGCAGATCATCAGATTTTTCTCCCACAGAGTGAGCCACTGGTTCATTCAGATCACCAATATTTCTATTAGCAGCTGAGCACTTAACCTTTGCACCGTGAGGGCTCATTTGTACTGTCATAGTGGAGAAAAGAGATCATCGTCTTCTGGAGCTAGCACTCTTCCCTTGCTGCCTTTGCCTTTGACAGTGTACGAGGGTCATTATGCATACTGAGGAGCTTCATAAGAAGAAGTCATCAAGATTTAGAACTGGTCCTGTATTTATTGTTCTTGCTTCTGTTGTACCACCCAGATACACAGCTTCTACCAAGTCATTTTAATTGATGAGAATCACGAGAAAAAGCTTCGTCCTTCTATTTTTTTCTATAAGGTGACCACTCTTGTTATTATTGTTTTTAGCAAGTATAGAGTCAGTTCCCAATTAACTGAGACTGCACGTGCAATGGGATTGGACCCTTGGCTAGTCTCAGTCTGGAATCTCTGTTGAAACTTGTTCAGCATCACAGCAATATGCAAGTCTGCACTGACAAACAAGGGGTGGCTGTACTTGAGGTACATTGGCTGGACATTGAACCTGGGTCTCGCACATGGAGGGCAAGAATTCTAATGTTGAACCACCACTGAAAACCAAAGACAACAAGAGCGACACCCCCCCCCCAAAAAAAAAAAACACAAATATCTTGCCATTGAGTTGATTCAGACTCATAGCGATCCTACGAAGCTTTTCCGAAACTATAAATGCTTATGGGAGCAGACAGCCTCATCTTTCTCTTGTGGAACAGCTGGTAGGTTTGAACTTCCGACCTTGTAATTAGCAGCCCAGTGCCTTACCCATAGCGTCACCATAAAACCCTCTGATTTAGAATAGATAGTAAGTAGATACTTGATGAGAAAGTTGGCCTTAGCTCTGAATTACCTGTCAGCCTTCATTAATTCCAGTTTAATATTTGTAATGCAGTAGAACTATTTAGAAGAAAATATAAATGGTATGGAATCAACAGCTCAGTATTGTGGAGCCCACATGTGTTAACTGTTCTCTTGGCTTTTTTCTAATGAGCCTCTCCCAACCTTCTAGGGATCAGAGGGTCCATCTCTCCTGGTGTTTGTAGATCTGTGGACCATAGGTGTATGATCACAGTATAGGAGTATAGGATAGTATAATACCCTTATAAATGCAGTTATTCCAAGCACTCATGACTTTCCAGCCCTCATCCCCAGAGTTAGTAGAGAAGACAATATGGTTAAGGAGACTGGTTTTGAATCACACCCTATAATATGGATAAATCCAATAAGTACATTTTTCCAGCTCAGACATTAATGGCCATTGAGTTTCCTGGAACACTTCAAACTTTTTTTCTGATAGTTGAATTTGTGTCCTACTTCATATTTGCATTACCTTTTTGCATACCCTGTGGATTTGTTTGTCTCCTGCTTACACATTTCCACGAATCACAAGCCTGAGGAAGTTTAAAACTAGAATCTCATCAGTTCACAATTGGCAAAATACATCTGTTCAGAGATATTCCTCAAATAACATTTTTTTTCACACGGTATGTGCCTTTGAAGACCACATTATATAGTGAGAACACTGGGTCTGCTGTTGAGCAGAAAAAGAAAAACTAAGCCAGATTTCTAAAACTTGAATAGAAAGATATTTGTCCTCTCTCACCACACATACATAAGCCTGTTTTCTTTGCTAATAGAAGATGTGCATGTCTCTCATAGATTTAGCTGATGTGTTGTCACTGCCAAACATTTTAAAGTCTGTCATTTGTTTTTACACCATGTAGGCCATTAACAAATTGTTCCCAACTAGCACATTGGTGAGGTTCCTAGGTAGCTTGTTGTTGTTGTTGTTAGGTGCCCTGGAGTTGGTACCGACTCATAGTGACTCTGTGCACAATAGAACGAAACACTGCCCAATTCTGGGCCAACCTCATAATTGTTGCTACGCCTGAGCCCACTGTGCCAATTCATGTCACTAGGGATCTTCCTCTTTTTCTCCAATCTTCCACTTCACCAAACATGATATCTTTCTCCAGTGACTGGTCCTTCCTGATAATATGTCCAAAGTATGAGAGATGAAGTTTGGCCATCCTGGCTTCCAAGGAGCACTCTGGCTGCACTTCTTCCGACACAGATCTGTTTGTTCTTTTGTCAGTCCATGGTACTTTTAATATTCTCCTCCAACACCATAACTCAAATGCATCAATTCTACAGTCTTCCTTATTCCTTTATTTACTAGGTAGCACCAGTGGTTAATGTGTTCATCTGCTAACTGAAAGGTTGGAGGTTCAAATTCACCCAGGGTTCAAACTGGCAGGAGGAAAGCTCAGTCATGAAAAACCCTATGGAGCACAATTCTACTCTGACATCCATGACATTATTATGAATCAGAATTGACTCGATGCAACTTGTTTTTTGTAGCATGTTGGCTAGGCAACAGGTGTACTTTTTGACTAAGCTACACCAGTGTATGGTCTGTAAATGGTATTTGACCTTTCCTTGTTCTTTAATTTTCTTATTTCCAACAGAGGAAAACTCACTACCTATCTCTCAGTATCCAGAAGGACAAACCTATTGTGAATGTCTCCCTGCACCACCCATGACAGATTCTCCATGTCAAATTTTCCTCTAAGATAGTGTCCAAAATAATTATCGAAGAAGCTTTGGATTTTTGCCTATCTTGTGTTCTCAAGGGCAAGAAATCGTCTTTAAAAGCTACAAGCTTTGATTAGTGAGAACACCCACTTACCTGTTCATAAGAGCAGTTGTGATTCATCCATTGAGAACCTGTGTTGAGAAAAGTAGCTGGTTTGAGCAATCTTTTGGTGCTTAGGTGTAGGTTCATTAAAAATACCCATAGTAGAAATCATTGCCTTGGTTATATGGTGCTTCCTTACATGTTGTTGTTCAAAATAATCAAATAAATCAGTGGTACAGCCACTATAGAAAACAGTTTAGTTTCTCAAAAAGCTAAGCACAGAACAGCAATCCTGTTCCTAGGATGTACCCAGGAGAGGAGGAAGCAGGAACACAGATAGAAATCTATATATACCATTGCTCAATGGAAGCAGTTTTCACAGTAGCCTAAAGGTAGAAACAACTAAAATGCTCATCCACAGAGACATGTTGTGAAGTGCTGTCTGTTGAGTCGGTTCTGACTCATAGTGACCCTGTATACGGTTTCCGAGGAGCGGCTGGTGAAATTGAACCACCAACCTTGTGGTTCAAATTGACCTTGTGGTCCAGTGCACTATGCCACTGGATAAACAAAACATGGTAAATACATGCAGTGGAGTGTTACTCAGCCATAAAGAGAAACAAAGGCCAGATTCATTCACAGCATGGATGACCTTGAAAATATTGTGCTGAGTGATACTGTCTCAAAAGGACACTATATGATCATTTTTGGTTTTGTGGTTAGGTGCCATCGAGTGGGTACCAACTCATAGCGACCCTATGCACAACAGAACAAAACACTGCCCAGTCCTGCACCAACCTCACAATCGTTGCTATGTTAGAGCCCATTGCTGCTGCCACTATGCCAATCCATTTCATTGGGTGTCTTCCTCTATTTCGTTGACCTTCCACTTTACCAAACATGATAGTGTTCTCCAGGGACTGGTCCCTCCTGACAATATGTCTGAAGCATGAGAGACTGATAGGAGATAACCCTGTGTAGGGTTTCTGAGAGTGGCTGGTGGGTTTGAACTGCCAATATTGCAATTAGCTATCCAGTGCTTGTCCTATAGCACTACACCTGGGTCTCTCAAATACATAGAAATCAAAATTTATTAGTGGCTACCAGGAGTGAGAGGAAAGAAGCAAAGGAGAAGTTTTGCTTAGGGTATGTTGACTGCATTTGGAAAAAGACAGTGAAAATGGTTTCACAAGTTTAAGAAAGTAACTCATGTCATTGAATCATACATATATTGTTGGGGAGGGGACAGAAATGAAAGTCCAAAAGCCTCAAGTGTGAATGAGAGACAGATAGACCATCACATTCTCTTTCTGTATGCACTTTAGAGGTTCACCTGGACCCTTACCGGACATGGTGTCCCATCGCAGACTGTCAGACAGTGTGCCGTGTGGCATCGAGTGACCCAGGACAGCCTGTGCTGGTGGAGTGTCCTTCATGTCACCTGAAGTTCTGCTCTTGTTGCAAGGATGCTTGGCATGCAGAAGTCTCCTGCAGGGACAGTCAGCCTGTCATCCTGCCCACAGAGCACGGGTAAGAAAGAAATGTTTGTCTTTGGGATGATTCACTGCCTTACTTTGAAGCCCACAATGCCTTCCTTAAAGAAGGAGGTACTTTGCGATGGAGTGTTCCTGTTTGTTGAGTAGCAACTGGTGGGTTTGACTCACTGACCTTTCAGTTAGCAGACTACTGTACTGTATGTTGTTGTTGTTAAGTACTGTGGAGTTGGTTCTGACTCTTAGCGACCCTCCACAGGGTTTCTGAGGCTGTAAATCTTTATGGAAGCAGAAAGCCTCATCTTTCTCTGGTGGAACAGCTGGTGGTTTCGAACTGGCAACCTTGAGGTTAGCAGCCTGATTCCGTAACCATGAAAATCAGTTAAATCTGTCCCTTTTCACATGCAGAGTTTTGATAGAAGCAGCAGGGCCCAGAGGGAGTGACTTCGTGTTTGATCTTTTGCTTTGCTTGAGGCTATGGCTGTTCTGTCTTAGCAAGAACAGAAATACCAGTGTTGCAGTCCAGTTAGTTTAATCACCCAATGCCCTTAAAATGTGTAGAGACATTCTTCAGCAATGTTAATGCTTCCTGGCTATGATGCTGTGTTTGAATCCCAGACAAACAAACCAAGAGAGAAAGAAGGTCTGATGCACATTGGAGACATATGACCTCACCACCAGATTGAAACCAGTGCTCCCACATTTACTGCCCTAACAGCCAGGGCCCTGGGTGGCCTGAGCAATGTTAACAACTCCAAGGTGAAGGATTCAAACTGTGTCATTGTCATTTGATATCTGACAGTTCACTCAGTCTTTTGGAATATGTTTTCCCACCTGAAAACAAAGGAAGGATTCAAATGGTAATAGTAAACACCCTACCTGAGTCCTGTTGTGGCACTGTAGGATAAGCGCTAGACTGCTAACAACAAGGTCTGCAGTTCAAGCCCACCAGCTGCTCCTCGGAAACCCTATACAGGGTAGCTATGAGTCAGAACTGACTCAAGGAAACTTCACAACAACTGTCCCACCGCTATGTATGGTATTGTTGGTACCAAACCAACACTTTGTGAACTTGATGTTTTTGTGTGCTAGAGAATGGTTTTTCATCAACAGTAGCTAAACTATAACCCAGTACTGGGGTTTCACCTGCCTGTCTCTCTACCCTTCTCTACCTCAGTATGTTCCCCTTCTAGGTGTTGGGTGGTATTCTGTGTTAGGTGTTGGGATACTAACCACAAGGAGGAAAATTCACACCTACCAACCGCTCCTCAGGAGAAAGAGGACGTAGTGAGCCCCTGTAAAGATTTACAATTTCAGGAACTCAGGAGAGTTCTATAGTATTACTTAGAGTCAGAATTGACTCGGTGCCGTGGGTGTGGTATTGGTTTAGGTTAGGCTGTGAAGGGTCCATCGGTGGTGCAAACTGCTAACTGGAAAGTTGGAGGTTCGAGTCTACTCAGAGGTATCTCAGAAACAGGGTCTGGCTACCTGATTCTGAAAAATGAGGTTCTATTCTGACATACATGGGATTTCCATGTGTCAGAATGACTTGATGGCAACTTTTTTGGTGTTTTGATCATGCTGTGACCTCTGCTGGCCGATTTATCTGTTTGGAGCAAGATTTTTAAAAAAATACACATTTTAGTAATATTTGGCATTTGTCCAAAGTATTGATTATTGAATTTCTGTTGCCTGCTTACCATTTGTTTAAATGAATCAATTCTTAGCTAAATTACCCTGGGCTAGTTTCTCTGCTGTGTAGTGGACTTCTTGGCCTTCTTATTCAGATAGTATATGCTCCCAGAACGAAACATTAATTTGGCAAAATAAATGAGTTAAATCACCTGTGAAAGTACAATTGCCGTAGATGAATTCAGATTCCTGATTTGAGTGATCTGAACCACTTGCTCTCCTAACTTTCCCCCTACCCTTTTCCTTGGAAGTAAGTCAAGGATGGATAACTGAGAGCTGATGACCGACTGACCCGTTAGGCTCCCTGGAATCCAGTTGCGATCATAAAGTTGAGTCTGCTGGTGGTGACGGTGGTTGCCACTGAATTGTTGCTGCTGAGCCTATTCCATTCCTGGCACCCCCATTGTGTTACAAAATATAGCTGAGCTCCATAGTGCTTTCATGGCTGTAATATTAGTGGAAGCTGATTGCCAGACCATTCTTTCATGGTACCACTGGGACGGTGGGTTCAAACCACCAACCTGTAGAGTAGCAGTTGAGCACAAACCATTTGAAGCACTTAGGGACCTTTTGTCCCCTGTGGCGTAGTGGATTATGCGTTAGACTGCTAACCTCAAGGTCAGCAGTTTGAACCCACCAACTGCTCTGTGGGAGAAAGATGAAACTTTCTGCTCCCATGAAAATTTGCAGCCTTGGAGACCCTATACAGGGTTATGAGTCGAAACTGACTCCACAGCACACTGCAACAGCAGCAGAAATCTTTCCCCAGCCAAAACTAAATCCACTCCTACTAAGTTGATTCCAACACATACAATAGAGTAGAACTGCTCTCTAAGGTTTCTCAGACTGTAAATCTTTAGGGGAACCGACAGCCTCCTCTTTCTCCCATGGAGCAGCTGGCAGATTTGAACCGCTGATCCTATGGTTAGCCAGCCATTGTTTATCCCACCAGGGTTCTTTGGGACCTTTTTGTTGTTAAGTGCCATTGAGTTGGCTTTGACTCACAGCAACCTGATATAAGGTTTCTGAGGCTTTTAAATCTTTGAGGAAGCAGAAAGTCTCATCTTTCTCCCACCGAGTGGGAGTGGCTGGCAGCCTTGCACTGCAGACCTTGTTATTCATAGTCTGGTGCTTATTGTTAGAAGCCACTGCACTCCCTGGGACCTTTCTATGGCTGCTGGTAAGTACCGTTGAGTCAGATCTAAGCCAACATCCCTGTATAGGGTTTCCAAGGAGTGGCTGGTGAGTTTGAACCGCTGACCTTGTGGTTCAAACCAACCTTGCAGTTCAGTGGGACCATTCTAGAAGGGCTATAATTGAATTATGATGTTCACAGCATCGTTTCATGTGTGTCCTCGTGGTTCTTGCTTCTTTATTAGGTAGCATTCCACATTCCCGATACCATTCTCACGATTTCTCATCCATTTGGTTTCTAGGGTCCTCTTTGGGACAGCAGACGTGGAAGCCCCCATTAAACAGTGCCCTGTTTGCCGGGTTTATATCGAACGCAACGAAGGCTGTGCTCAGATGATGTGTAAGAACTGCAAGCACACGTTTTGCTGGTACTGTCTCCAGAACCTGGACGTAAGTTCCACCAGCAGAAAGCTCTAGGCTGGTCTGAACAACAGCCAGTATCTGTCAGGCTTTCCTTAAAATTATTGAGTCTACCTGTCCTGTGAAAGGAATCTATTTTCTGTTTTACTATTCATGTTAGGTATTTTTTTCTTTTTATTGTAAACTGAGTGAAGGCTTCTTGTTGTTGTTAGGTGCCATCGAGTCGGTACCGACTTACAGTGACCTTATGCACTACAGAATGAAACACTGCCCAATCCTGGGCCAACCTCACTATTGTTGCCACACTTGAGCCCATTGATGCTGCCACTTTGCCAATCCATCTCGCTGGAGGTCTTCCTCTTTTTCTCTGACCCTCCACCTTAACAAACATAATATCCTTCTCCAGGGACTGATTCCTCACGACAATATGTCTAGTATATGAGAGACGAAGTTTGGCCATCTTGGCCTCCAAGGAGCACTCTGGCTGCACTTCTTCCAAAACGGATCTATTGGTTCTTTTGGCAGCCCATGGCACTTTCAGTATTCTCCTCCAACACCATAACTCAAAAGCATCAATTCTTGTATGGTCTTCCTTATTCACTGTCCAACTTTTACATGCATGTGAAGTTATAGAAAATACCATGGCTTGGGTCAGGCACGCCTTAGTCCTCAAGCTGACATCTTTGCTCTTCAACACTTTAAAAAGGTCTTGTGCAGCAGATTTGCCTAATGCAGTAAGTCGTCTGATCTCTTGACTGTTGCTTCCATGAGTGTTGATAGTTGACCCAAGAAGAATGAAGTCCTTGACAACATCAATCTTTTCTCTGTTGATAAGAATGTTGTTTATTGGTCCAGTAGTGAGAATTTTTGCTTTCTTTACATTGAGATGTAATCCATACCGAAGGCTATACTCTTTGATCTTCATCAGTAAATATTTTAAGTCCTCTTCACTTTCAGCAAGCAAGGTTGTATCTTCTGCATATCGCAGGTGGTAAATGAGTCTTCCTCCAATCTTGATGCCACGTTTTCCTTCTCATAGAGCAGATCAATGTTCCAGTCAATAATTCATTACACTATGTTTCAGCTCATTGACTGCAGTTCATATCACTCATTCCATTTCCTCCTCGTGTTTCCTGTTTGCAGCACCCTGAATTTTATCATTGGGCAAATGCTGCCCATGTGATCTCCAATGGTTGATTATGCTAAGGTGGGTGTACCTCCGCTTATAGACCTGTCTGTTGTTTGGCTGAAAACTGAGCCTTGAGGATGAGTTCGTTGCCAGTCTTGAAGGATGACTAAAGACCATATTCTGAGGGGCACCACTAGTCTGTGTTTGACCAGTAAACCTACCCTTTGTTTTTATGATTTTGTTTTGTTCCACGTTTTCCTCCCACTCTATCCAGGACCATCTACTGTGGTCTAGATTTCCCAAGCCTGTTTCTTTAGGTATCACTCAAACCTTTCCTTGATGATCTTAGGTCTGTCACCTTAGCAAATTGTTGGGTTAGGAACATTTCCTGCACCTTGGGTATTGTCTTACTTTATTATGTAAAGGACTCTGCATGTATTTGATTTCTGTTGCTTCTCCAACAAATGACTAAAATTTAAGGGACTTAAAACCACACTTCTTATGCAATTACTCTGTAGATTAGAAATCAGACAAGGGTCTCAAGGCAGGCCTGTTTTCCCTGCTGGAAGCCTAGGGGGAGATTCTGATTTCTCTTCCAACATCTAAGGCTTTTGACCACTTCCCCCTTTGTCGCAGCAGCACAGCCTTATCTCTCTGGCATTTCTTCTATCTTCACATTGCTCTCTGATCATCCCTGGGGAAGGTTCTCTGCTTTTAAGGACCCTTATGATTAGACTGTGACACCAGGTCGATCTAGGCTAAATAATATCATCCCAGGGTCCTTGACGGAATCACTTCTACCTCGTCCCTTCCATCACGTGAAGTGACATCATAGCCACAGTTCCAGAGATTACTGCGTGAATGTCTCTGGTTACCATAATTCATTTAATTTCCTTTATGAATTAAAACAAAAAACCTCAAAGATGTGTCTTAAATAGCTTTCAAGTTCTTTCATTGGCATGGCAGTGGTATTGGTGCCATGTATCAGTGTCCCCTTCCTAGTCAATGGGGCCTGGCCTAATGATTATTTTCCCTAACCATTCATGGATCATGTCTCTTCAAACTCAGTTGCTATTGCATTCAGTCATATGTCAGGGCTGGTGGTAACCTCAGAGTTTACAGATAGAGTGAAGGATTGGTGGAATTATTTCAATCCCAGTGTTTTAAGGAATGCATGAGGGTAAGTTGTTTATAAAGATTGCCTTCTTTTCCCTTCAAATTTGACCTATTCAGTATGTCTATTATTAGTGCAAGCCCTCAGTCATGGTTGATCTGCCCGTCCATTCTCAGCTTTTCCTTCTAATTGTCTAGCTGACGTCAATTCCACAAGTGATTTGTAGAATGCTTCACTATCATACATGCTCCATGAACACACAGACCACATGGTTCATGCATGGTGCCTGGGTTTTTGTTTTTTTTTAACTGAAAATTAGATAAGTCATAAGAATCTTAATCAGCTTCATCCAGTGTTTTGAGATGAGACATGAATTTGATAGAGGAAAATACCATTTTAATGATGCCAGCAACTTAGCCGTTTGGCTTGAAATATAACTTTAAAAGTTGGATTTATCATAACACCTTGAATTATTATGTGTGTGTGTGTGTTAAGTCCAGTCAAGTTGGTTCCGACTAATGACAACCCTGTATAAGGTTTCCAGAGAGCAGCTGGTGGGTTTGAACTGCCAACTTTAAGGTTAGCAGCCCAGTGCTTATCCTATGGTGCCACACCAGGATTCCAGGACTCCGCTTGAATTACAGTTGTCTGATATTTGAGACCTCCCATCATTCCAAATGAGTGAAATCTGAGTGAACATCTTTATAACCATCTTGCTTCATAATTAACAACAGTCTCACTCTCGTTTTCTTTAACTTCAGATTTAACCAGAATACTAATTAGGTTGATGGACAGAAGCCTGGTCCATTAGGTTCTCTCTAGGAGTGTGGTAACTCCATAGGATAAGTACAGGACTGTGAACCACAAGATCTGCGGTTTGAGTCCACCAGCTGCTCTGAGGCAGGGTGAGGTTTTCTGCTCCCACAAAGATTTAAAAAAGCCTTGGAAACCCTACACAGGGTCACTATGAGTTGGAATCGACTCCAAGGCACTTAACATCAATAACAGGAGGCAGAAGTGTAAGGAAGTAAGCATGTGCATCAAATCTTTCCATTCTTTTACTGAAATATGTTTGGAGTATGGCATTGTGAAGAAAGATTGTCCTGGAACTTGCAGTGAAGTGGTACAGATGTTCAGTGGCTGGATACACAGACTTCAGATGTTGAAGCATCTTGTTCTGCCCCACCCCCCATCCTTTTTTTTTTTTTTTTTTTTTTGAGACTGTTGTCTTTGCTTTGGCCCAGGGCAATTGGCACATTACTAACTATGTTTCTCTAGAGAAGTGTTGTAAATCAGATGGTGATGGTTATCGGTGTTTATAGGAAAGTTGTACAGCATGGGCCAAGAGAAGGGTGACTATTCAAATTCCAAACCTGAGGCAGAGACCAAACACTGGTTTGGGATTTTGTGTGGTGGTGATATCCTAGCTTGATTCTCATTCCTATCATTTCAGAGGAGGAAAGATTCTAAATCTGCTTTAGGATTCCACTTACAGTTATATCCTCAAGGATTTGTCTCCTGTTGGTAAGTGCCATCGAGTCAGTTCTGACTCATAACGGCCTGTATAGGGTTTCTGAGGAGCTTTCAGTTAGCAGTCCTGTGCTTAGTCCAGCGCTACACCAGAAATCCTCTATCTCTTTTTCCTCCTGTGACTTCAACTTCAGCTCCCCACTTCACAATATATCCACTCCCTCCAGTTTGTGTCATTTAAAAATGAGAGAACCTTTTCTGGAGCCTGCCTCTTTCCCTTGTTGCTGCTGCTGCATCCATTCCTGGCACATGACGACTCCATAGAGTAGACTGCTCTGTAGGGTTTTCACGACTGTGACCTTATGGGAAAAAGTCATCTCTGAGTGGTTTCAAACTGTCCAACTTTTGACCAGTGCTTAACCATTTGAGCCACCCAGGGAACCTTTACATCTTTCCAGATGTCTCTCCTTCCTCTAGAAGCCAAGCTTCAAAATAGCATAACCCCCTCTTACTGTTGATGTTAATAACATCCATTTATTCTGCTAGCAATGAACTCTGTCACAGAGTCATACCTCTTCTGTATTCATTCCGAGGTTTCAAGTGATTTCTTATTGGTAGAATCCAGTAGATGCTTTCATCTTTGTCTCTCTGCTACCTTTGACCCCTTGATCACTTGACTCACTCACCTCTTTTTCAGTGATAACCCTCTCTTCTGGTCTCCCTTCTACCTGTCTGGCCATGTCTTAGTTTCCTTTCCAGACTCTTAGCCAGTTCTTGAAGTGTTTCTGTTACTTCTCACACTACACTCTTTCTATCTGGGCAGTTTCATCCCCTTCTATGGTTTCTTTCAACCCATCATTCCCAAATCCATTTTTTCCAGACTCTAAATCTATACAGTCAGCTGCCTTTTGAACAATACTACTTCGATGTCTCAAGTATCTCTCAAAGTTAACGTTTCCAAACCATAGTTATTTGTCTTTCCAATAAAGTCTGTTTTCTTCATCTAATTACTTGCCTTCTTAATAGCTCATGACTGTATTTTCCTATATTTGTGGTAGTGGTGGTTATGTGCTGTGGAGTCAGTTCCGACTCATAGTGACCCTGTACAGGGTTTCTGAGGCTGTAAATCTTTACGAGAGCAGAACGCCTCATCTTTCTCCCACGGAACAGCCGGTAGTTTCGAACTGCTGACCTTGCGATTTGTAACCACTACGCTATCAGAGCCGTTGGTATTTCTTCACCTGACTTATTCAAATAACCTTTTCACTACCCTGCTCTTAACCACCGCATTCAGTGTTGCGTCTCTGCTAGAGCTACCTTCCTAAGGCGAACAAGTCAGAGCTCTCTTTTAGAATCTGTCTGGAGCCTCCTTTATTGTGATCTGTTTTCACTTGGTGATTTACAAAACTACTGAGTTACGTTCTAAGCATTACAGGCCTGGACTTTCCAGAGGGAATCAGAAATCAGCAGTAGCATCTCTGATTGCAGTGAGTTAATCTAATGATCTAGTGACCATCTCATGAGGTATCAATCCCTCTCTCCTTCAGAACTGTGTGTTCACTGAGATCTCACTCTTTGTTTTACAGAACGACATTTTCCTCAGGCATTATGACAAAGGACCATGTAGGAACAAACTGGGCCACTCCAGAGCATCAGTGATGTGGAACCGAACACAGGTATCCTCACCTTAAAGGGAGCTTGGAAGAAACCAGACTTCTGATACGTTCAAGAGTCCACCTCTTGAGAGAAAAGATGCTAGACTGAATTTTTTTTTTCCAGAACAAGTTTTAACTCTATGCCCCAACTTAATTAATGATTAATTTAGATAGCCAATCAATATAATTCTAATGCCCTCAATATCATACATGAACTTCTCATGTGGTGCTGTAGGCTCAGCATTAGACTGCGAACCACAAGGTCAGCAGTTCAAACCTACCAGCTGCTCCTTGGAAACCCTACACCGAGTTGCTATGAGTCAGAACCAACTTGAGGGCACTTAACAACAACAGTATTATACAGCACCACACTAGGGCAGGGCTGTTGTTTTTAAGTATCTTCAAGTTGGTTCCAATTCATAGCGATCCTGTATAGAGTTTCTGAGGAACGGCTGGTGGGCTTGAACCATTGACCTTATGGTTCAAACCAACCTTGCGGTCCAATGCTTATCCTACAGCACTGCACCAGGGCAGGACTAGGGAAAAGTAATGGAACTACTTGTTGAAGTTAACTGGTAAGCACAGACTTTGGGAAGACAAGTTGGGTACAGAGGTCCAGAGGACTTCCTTCCTCCTGGAAATATGCTGAAATGACTCTACTATTAACCATGAAAGTCAGTGTTCCAAACACCTCTGAGACCTGCGGGCTTTGAGTTCTCTGTATACACCATTGTGTGTTTACGCGGCAGGTCCAACAAGAGAGCCTTGGTTCCTTTTTCATGGTGTTTCATATTTATTACAGGGCCTGTTGGCATCTTCCTTTAGGGAGATTCAATGTTAGTACTCATCATTAACATCCCATTGCAGAGACCCAGGTAGAGAGACAACTGATACCAATAAGTGATGATTTTACTTGAGCCTGAGTTAGAATTTGGATTTGCTCTTCTCACCTTGCTTTGTATCCAATTGAGAATTTTGCTGGGAACTGGATGAAAGGTTGCATAATTAGAGCTTTTATATGCCAGAGTCTGGTATAATAAAAGATCACTGTTGGCAGAATGGTCAAATGCTTGGCTGCTAAGCAAAAGGTCAGTGGTTCCATGAGAGAAAAGACCTGTTGATCTTCCCCTGTAAAAATTTCAGCCTAGAAAGCTACAGGGCAGTTCTACTGTGTCATACAGGGGCCGCTATGAGTCAGAATCAACTCATTGTCATACAACAATATGGTATAGTACGCACTAGTATGCATACAGGAAGATATAACTGCTGAAATATGTTTTTCTTCTACATTTCCAGGTGGTGGGGATTCTTGTGGGGTTGGGCATCATTGCCTTGGTCACGTCACCCCTTCTGCTCCTGGCCTCCCCCTGTATAATCTGTTGTGTTTGCAAGTCTTGTCGGGGCAAGAAGAAAAAGCATGGCCCATCCACAACCTAAAGCTCTCTGCGCGTGCTCACTTGCTATGGCTATCTGGGTTCTATGAAACAGCACAGTGATGACACCCCACTTAGTGAACTCACCTCCTCATCCTTGACAAACTTTGGAAGTGCCTCTTGTGTCCTGCCAGCCTTCAACATTGGAGCAGGCCAACAAGCCCAGGGAGCGTGTGTTCCAGTGTAGACAGAGCCAAGTTCTCCAGTCCAGACTGCGTCTAGGGAACACGTCTGGAAGCTTGGGGATTGCTTTGAGGGGGAACAAGGACATCATTGTTCAGTCACCTACAGGATACCACTGGACTGTTGAACTTCCAGCCAAAGTTAAGGAGCTTGAAGGAACATTCGATATAATAAATATGTTGTCACAGTTGGCAACATACATGCTAACTGAGAAGCGGACGTCAGTTCTGTGTTGATTTGAACACCATGGAAACGTGATGGGGGTTGGTACTCCATGTAGGAGGAGAAGGGTAAGACTGCTGAAGAGATGATGCTCGTAGGAGCTATAAAGTAGGCTGCTGATCTCAGTGGTAGATGTGGTGGTTCCGCCTTTGCCGGCTACTTGGTGTACTGTTCTCAGCGTTCCCACAGTGACTTGGCAGACACACAATAGATTTCTCCTTGTGTGGTCTCAGCTTCAGGAAGGAGAAGCTGTTGTGCAGAGAGCATTGTCCCTTCCCAATGAAGGCGTTGCAGTGTGGAGATCAATGTAATGTCCCAAAGTTGGCAAGTGGAACTTTCCTAAGGTGATCAACTCTTAACAACCAGTAGCTAGACAATGGCTTTATCTGAAATGTGGGTAGGGTAGGACAGGTTCCAAAGCTTCACCATAGATAATAACAGACCTTTCTTAGAGTCTGTATTCGTAACACTAAAAAAGGTTTAAAATTGGATCTAAAAGTACATGCCAGGAGCAAATATTCAAGTCCATGTACATATACATCTAGAAGCCATATAATTTGCAGCCTATCCCAGAATTCCTATCCAGTAGGCATGCATGGATAACCCCAGTAGTACATATAAATGTTTACTGAAAAGCCATTCTAACCTTCCTTCTGTGACTAACATGGTTTATTATAAATCACCTAGACATTTTTTGCATATTATATATGTGAATTTTAGTTCTGAGTTAATAACTTATCCAAGGGTATATATAAACTCATAAACACAACTCTTTTAAAACAGTAAATAGTATAATAGCATATTACCTTTCCTTTTTAAAAAAAAAAAAATTGATAATCAAAAATTTACATATCTTCCAATAATTCAGAGCATTTCTATTCTTGGCATCATTTCATAGTGCACTTTCAGCTGCTAGTGAATCAGTCTGAGTACTTTCTGTTCAGACAAGGCACTGATGAAGCAGCAACATAAAGTAGGTAAGGAATAAAATGTAAGCGCTTTATAGATCCTAAAGAGAGTGGGCTTTTTTAAATCACTTCACTGTGACTTGTTTTCCCAATTATGCCATTCATCAGCTTTTTAATTAAATGGGTTTCCAAAAGATAAATAATCCGGTAACAGGATTATTAGCAATGCAGGGTGGAGCTTTAGGATAACTGTACTCAGTGTAGATGGAGAGCTTGTCTTGAAGCCAAGTGTACCATATCAGGAACTATCAGCGCCTATGATATTCTTTGAGATTGGGTAACTAGTGTGTTAAATTGCTGCTATATCAGACCTATTATTAAAGAATGATGCTTTGCTTATTTAATAGAATGTATACGAAGTGGAACTCTGGTAGCATAGTGGTTATGAATCGGGCTGCTAATCTCATGGTCAGCAGTTCGAAACTACCAGCTGTTCTGTGGGAGAAGGATGAGACTTTGTGTTCCCGTAAAGATTTACAGCCTCGAAAACCCTGTACAGGGTCACTATGAGTTGGAACCGACTCCACAGGACATAACAACAAAAAACAACATACTAAGTGGAGAGTCCTGGTGTGGTGCTGTAGGTTAATGCACCAGACTGCAAAACCGTTTGAACTGCAAGGTCGGTGGTTCAAGCTCACCAGTCGCTCGGAAACCCTATACAGGGCCACTATGGGTCAGAACTGACTCAATGGCACTCAACGACAACAAAACATTCTAAGTGGGGATGTGTATATTTTAAAGACTTTTTTGTTCACGTGTATATGTTTGATATGTACATCTGTTGATCATGTACATTTTATTTACAGGTTGTATAGAGCATAGATGAGAACTAAGGGAAAACTTTAGAATGGCAACCCACCAAAAAGCATTTAAAATCATCTATTAACAATTTGTCATTATTAAGCATCTTTGCTTTTCTTCAAGGCACTAAACATTTCTTTTCCTCTTCTATCGATGTATTTGATGTATTTCATATTAATGTAATTGTTCATATACTTGAGTAGTCAAGTTGCTTTTATATGTATATATACAGAGCCAACTGCCTCATTCTAGGTTAAAAGGGCATTTATAACTGCTCAGGGGATCATAGAAATTCATCTGAAATTGAAGTTTTGTAAAAAGGTTGTCAGTACTGACAATGTATTCCTCCATTATTTAACTTTTCAGTACTTGGTTCCACAAAGACTCTTTAAACAGGGACTGATTTCAAGTAACCTAAAATGTTTTGTTAGCAGAAGTAGAGTTCCTGGATTTGTAGTGAAGATGGAAGAAAATATATATTTCTTTGGCAAAACCGAAGGAACTTGACTTCTCATAGAGGTATTATAACAGAATCAGTTACTTTTGAGGGGAAGGGAGAATTGTTTGCCTAACAGAATTTGAATGACTGGATTTAACTTTTAAAATGTTGAAAAGTGCCTGGGGGTGGAGGTAGGGGGAAGTGGTGACTTCTTTTGTCAATAGCTAGATGAATTGGCCTGTGTAAGGCTTTCTGAATCTACAGGAGATTGTTGGTAGGTTAAACCCAAACATAGCTCTGCTGTAGCAAAGGGTGAGACTCAAGATGTTCTAGCAACTTTGTTTACTAGGCGACAGCTGACAGCTTTGATAACAGAGGCAGATATTTTCATTCTGGATAATTGGCCAATGAGGAATTTAATCTTGTCTCCTTCCTCTATCAGCTTTGTCCTTGCCTAGTAATTCTCTTTGTATTCTAGGAGGAAATATTAGTCTAGATGTTTCCATGTTGTGGCAAAAATATTTTTCTATTTGAAATAGAAACAAAAAAATCAAGATGTAATCACTCACCATCCTGAAACTCTATTGAAGGTAATGACATAACATCTATTTGTTGCCTGACACCCCCTCAGAAAAACAGACAAATTTTGTTATTAGGTAGGAAGGTGAAAGGTGAGAAGGAAAGCTTATATGGAAACAGATTTGGAATCTTAGGCATCCTACTTTTCATGCCATGAATGTTTACTCTGGACTTAAAAATCTGTATTTTGTAAGAGGCCATTGAAAAATAAATAAGTCACAGTGTGAGTTTTTTTATGGCGTACATCATAAAAATCTTAATCTGTGTTTGAAAATCCACATGTTTATTTGAATGTAAATCACTGTTTATTTGAATCCCAAATTTTCCCTTAAAACTCACACAGTCTAAACATGTATTGCTTTAGCCTTCCCAACACTGTGCTTCTAAAAGACTTTTTCTGTTTATGAATGGATGCCTTTATGTATAGAGACTCTTGTACATATGTATAACTTTAAGGACAATTTCAGAAATGCCTTAGATGAATGAAATTTTATAAAGTTCTCACAGTTGAGATCTATATAGACTATTACATCTCATGATTCGGGAAGTTTTGTTATGTATTTAAGAAATTGTAATTATACTTTATTTTTCCAATTCTTTGGGAGGAAAAATAGCTGTTTTAGTTTGTCTAGTCCCAATAAATGTGGAGCAAAAATCAAGTGTGCGAAATTTTGGTGTACTGCTTATTTCTCTAGTCCTGTTCATAGTGTCCTCCAGGAACTACCAGATAACTATTAAGTCCTGAGTTCCGTGTGTGTAAAATTTACCCGAATCTGCAATACAATGTGAGGAAGTAACGGAAGTAACACCTGCTGCCATGTTTTTTAAATGGGGCAAGTACAAGGCCACCATTCCTTGAAGACTTTCTTGTTGTATGTGTGACATTCCACACTGACAGTACACAGGAACTGATCATTGTCCACAAAATTCCAATATTGATGGATATCTTTGGTCGTTCTTATAAAGTGTTGGCAAGTGTCAAAACCATTGTTTCTGTAGAAACAAACAGGATCACTATAAAGGAGCTCTGATAGCTTAGTGGTTACTAGTGGGACTGCTAATCTCAAGGTCAGCAGGTCAAAACTGCTAGTTGTTCTGCGGGAGAAAGATGAGGCTTTCTGCTCCCGTAAAGATTTACAGCCTTGGAAACCCTATGCAGGGTCGCTATGAGTTGGAACTGACTCCACGGCACACAACTAACCAACCCATGAATCAGAACCGACTCAACAGCACTTAATGATAACAAGGCCAGTTCTAACCTTCTGAAAGTCTGTTGTTAAGTGCTATTGAATAGACTCTGACTCATAGCGACCCTATATAGGATTTCTGAGGAGCAGCTGTTGGGTTTGAACTGCCAACCTTGTGGTTCACAGTCCAGTGATTCTGCAGAGCCACAGCAGGACTCTATTGTTGTTATTAAGTGTCATTGAGTCAGTTCCACTAACAGCGACCCTGTATAGGGTTTCCTGGTTGGTTAATGTGCTGGTCTGCAAAGTTGGTTTGAACCTTAAGGTCAGCAATTCAAGCTCACTAGCGGCTCTGGTAGCGTAGTGGTTACGAATCGGGCTGCGAACCATAAGGTCAGCAGTTTGAAACTACCAGCTGCTCCGTGGGAGAAAGATGAGGCTTTCTACTCCCGTAAAGATTTACACCCTCGGAAACCCTGTACAGGGTCGCTATGGGTCGGAACCGACTCGAAGGCACTTAACAACAACAACAACAACAGCGGCTCCTTGGAAGCCCTATACAGGTTTGCTGTGGGTCAGAACTGACTTAACGGCACTTAACGACAACAGCATAGGGTTTCTG